ACGGTCAATCCCACTATTCATTGGTAAAATCATTGGGTGGTGATGACTAGCTGCCTTCCCTCTAGTCTTACACTGCTAAATTAGGGATGGCTAGTGCAGATAGCCCTCATGTAGCTTTGCATGAAGTTTGAAACAAAGCAAACCAAACCTCTCCACTGCACTTTTTCCCCCTTTTCTTCCAGTGGAGTATGGGAGTCCTTACCATTTTCATGTTCCAAACTACTGGGAAGGTGGACCATGGAGGCATCCTGAATGTCATAATGATACAATATACATATAATGATAAAACCATTCAGTTTAGAGTAGGGTGGTGGTGTTTGTTGGTGTAAATGAAGAGATATCCAATCTGTAGATTTGGAGTGAGCCATCAATTGCAGTTCACTCTTTGATTGAGATCCCTCATCTTACCCCCTCACGAATGCCGTTACCAGTGGCTGAGTTTTGGATTCAGAGCTGAACCAATCAACATAAGTCCTTACAGGTGCCTCTGTTCCTTCACTCCCCTATACTCTTGTTTCTCCATCCATGTTGTGGGTGACAATAGAAGTACCTGCAGATTAATATGGTTCTTCTTCTTCTTCTTACATCATCCCTTAATGATTTTATTATAGAAAGGATGTTATTGCACTAGGGACAGTTCCTATCAGATTGGTTTTGAGTGAGATAGTTTACGTTACAGTGACATCTTTATGATACTGTTTATCTGAATGTCAGGTTCCCGGATTGGTCACTCAAACTTTCACATTGATATCATGTGCTTTATTCATAGATTGGGGGATAGGAGATTCCCTCCAGTCTGCTAAATTTGAGGTGAAAACAGTATGATCCTCTTTCCTACCCCCACCAGTTGGCTGGGTTTTGGATTGTAGTTAATTTGCCACCTGTATGATCCTCTTTCCTACCCCCCACATGGATGTTGGTTCCTGGTGACCTGGATTTTGGACTGTAGTCGACTTACCAGCAATTTGATATTCTTTTCTACTCCCACATGGATATCTGTTCTCAGTGGCTGGGTTTTGGATTATAGTTAACTTACCAATGGTATGATCCTCATTTTACCCCCATATCTATGTTTGTTCCCAGCGGCTTGGGTTTTGGATACAGTTAACTTGCTGTGTATGGTCTGTCATGCCCTAGCTACTCTACAGCTAGAGGCACATCCTTTTATTCACACCCACATTGATGTACTGTATGGGATTGAGATTCTGATATATTGTGGTTCGGATCCCTATCCAACCATTGTTCTTTCCCATTTAGATGTGCTCCTTCCATTTTCTGCCCATGTCTGCTACACCTCTTTCTACACTGGGCAACGACTATACCTGCAACAGAAGAGGTGCAGTCTTCCACATATGACCCTCTAATGCAAGGAGCTACTCTTTTAACCCTATCACCCCGGGTACCCTTTACTGTGCATGACACAAGGTTTTAGTGTCTTTCATTCAAAATTTTATTAAACTACATTTTGTTTATGTTATACCAATTAGAGCATAAAATCTTAGCTAATAATCCATATTTTAATAGTATAGTGTGACCAACATAACACATTTTGTCTTAGCATGTCATCATCCCTATTTTATCTATCACCTCTCAAAAATGTACAAAATTAAACATAAAATACTCTATAAAATCGTTATTGGTAAAAAAAAAACATAATTTTTGTAGCCTTCAATTTTGTTTACAGAGCTACCGAGTAGAAAATCAGACCCCCTCTTGCCACACCCACCTGTCACATCCTCTCTTTCACAGTTCTTTGATAGTTCTCTCTTATGTTTCAGTATATATTACCTATAACCAATAGAAAGTCAAGGTATTCATTTATCAAATGACTTATTGTATTCTGAACAGAATATAGTCGATTTCACTTGCAGTATAAGATTTGTTCCTGTGGGAAAGTTAACGACTAGCTTGGATGAATTTGTAACAGCTCTTGTTGCATAGTTAAAAAGCCGGGAAAATTTTGAGAGATAAGTGAATTTGTCTACTTTTTACATGTTATTAGTTGATATTCTTTGGTGCATTATTTAATTAAATAAAAATTGTTAAGTGCATTATTATAATTACTATAAAAAATCAGGCTTAACTCTTCTCTTCAATGGAGGGCAAGAAAAAAAAGAAGATTGGGCAATTACTTTATTTCTTGTTTTTCATATTTATTCTTTATTTATTATTGTAAAAATAACAAATCTAAAAATACAGATCTTTTTAAGGTATTTAAGACTAGATAAGGTAAAATAGATAATAATAATAATACAATTAAAATGGTTCACGAGGCACGCACATGAGCAGCTTGTGGGTAATGTAATTCGATAACGTAATGTGAGCTGCATGTTCCCTGAGTGATTTACAACTTATAATGGCATGAATAGCAGTTAGACACAGTTCAAATGGCAAGGAAATTTAATTATAAATAAATGTATAATGTTCCAAACTTAGAGCTAATTAGGATAAACGAATGTAGTTTCATGTTACAATTTAAAGTCATTCTAGAAAGAAAGAAAGGTTAATTTAGGCTTATTTCTTCTTTTTGTGTGTGTGTGTGGTGGTGGTGGTTATGAGGTCAGTTGAACTGACTGATCCCATTTGAGATAGGATAGGGAAAATAACGGATAAACTATAAGGTTTTACTGAAAAAAACGTTTGAAATGCATTTAGGAGGTTTAAGGGATTACACAAAGGAAATTTGAGATTTTTGAGATGATGAAAAGAATTTTTAATTTTAACATGAAAATTACTTTGTACACGGACTATTCAAAATGAATACTCAGCATTCGATGACAAGGAACCCACTTTGAGACTAATAATACTTGGAGATGGCTTGAATGGGTAATGAAGAAAAACTTTAATATAAGTTTAACATAACAGCAAATACTCAATATATTCATGGACAAATCTTTTTTTTTATTTTATTAAAAATACTTCACTAAAGAAATATGATTTTTTGTATGTAAAAGACTTGTAATATTAACTGAAAGACTGCCAAATTTTGTGAAGATATACCCAATATATTGAGATCTATAAGTATTAAATTTATAAAGACTTTAAAACGAGTACAAAAGGTCACATTACTCTGTCAAATTAACCAACCCTGTAGTGCGAGAGTTAAGGTGTTTTTCGGATGCTTTAGAGGAATGCTGATTTATTTTTCCATCGCACCAGTCTCTCCACCTGTTCAATGTGGGATTCTAGCTATTTACGTGAGAGGTAATGTACCTTATTGGAAGTTATAATTTTCCTATCCTGAAAATGTATTTCTGTTAGGTACTTACCTCTCTCACACTTCCCACCCTTCCTTCCCACTAAAACTGGTACTTCCATTTTCTGCAGAAACTGGAAGTGATAGTTCAGTAGAATCAAATGTGTCACACTCTTATTGGTGTAGGATTTTTGCATGATGATTTACATTCAAGATGCATTTGAACCAGTTTATTGTAAGGTACGTGAGAGTTAAAGGCTTGTGGCATGAGAAACTAAAATTTTTGCATATAGAGGGCAACACTGAATGAGAATAGCTATTTATGTGAGTGGAAGTAATTACCTATTGGAAATACAGTTTCAATATAGGAAAATGACTTCAGGATAAGACTGAATTAAGTTAGTAGAATTTAAATAGAATTAAGAGCTGAGCATAAAGCTAAAACACTCCAATGTCCTTTATCATGAACCATGATAGTGATTTATAACATGGATTACAAAGAATTGCACAAAACCCTAATAGAATGTTCAGGCAAAAGGCACCTTAAACAGTGAAGATTCAGTTCAACCAACACTTAAAGATCTTTACTATTAACTGCTAAAGCTATACACACATAAAAATGCTTAAAAAAGAATGCATTTTAGACTTAAAAGGAAAAGAAAATCTACTCAAAATGGCCCATTTATAATTCTTCTTATTCTTATTCTCTTGCCAGTCTACAAAAAAAACGGTTTGGTATATTGCACCCAAACCTTTTGTAGAATACTAAGTAAGGTACTGCGAAGTTTGTTGCAGTATTGAAAAATCGATTTGTTTCTTTTATATTTTAGATAAGCTAAAATACATCATAATTCTAGTGTAAACGATATTATCAATACTTTTTGAAGTTAGCTTTCTTACAAATATCTGATGTTTCTTTAAAAAGTGTAAGTACAGGGTGAAACAGGAATTTCCAGCCAATAATATATGAACATTAGTTAACTGTAACATGTAGATACTCAATGCTTTGTACACTATACAATCAGCCAACCCCTATATTATGTAAGAAGTGAAAACCATATCAGCTAGCTACTAGGTATGTTTATTATCATTACAATGTATAAAGGTAGCTACTATATCAAGTAATCGGGAATTTAAAAACCTGCAAGTAAAGCTGTAAAAAAGTAAGGAAACAGAGCTGGAGATACTGTAGACATTATTTACTGAAACTACAAATCCATATTTTTACTCCATCAAATGTAATTCTAGGTAACAGCATGGGGCCAGAATAGGGGCTTGTAGTCTTTGTAAATAATGTCTGCAGTATCTCCAGCCTTATTTCCTTACTTTTTTAACAATCCCTATTTGTAAGTTTTTAAATTCCCAATTTTTTATTTATGTTGTCTAGTTTTAGAATGACTGTTTCTGAACATTTAAGAGATAAAATATTTGGGTGAAGACAGATTTAGTATTATGTTTTTACTGCCAGAAAGGATGTTTTCTCTCTCTCTCACTTACATGACTGTTGGTCCCAATATAAGTTTTGTGTTGACTGAAATAAGCTTTTGTTTTTCTCCAAACCTGAAACCAAGTTTCTTTATTGTACTATGTGTCTTCCCTCTCCTGTTAACTGAAGAGTTTTACAGTTGTCTCTCTTCTGTGACTAGGGAAACACTAATTCAGACCAACACTCTCAGAGACATTACAAGAATAATAGACAAAAGATGTGGCTTCAAAAGATTATATTAATTTTATAGTATTAAATTGTTTTTTAAGTTTCTAATCAGCATGTCATATAGGAGAATTCATTATCTGTTTCATGCAGAGAACAACAAGGCATTCTTGCTTGCTGTAATCCTATTCCTCCTCTGGTACGACAACATCTAAATGAACTTCACATGATCATTATGAGGGCAAGAGATCAACCAATGGTGAAGGTAAGTTGTTGGTGATATATCCTATGAAGTATACTTTAGGTAAGTCAAGTTGCTAGAAATAAATTTGCTAAAATAAAAGGTTCTTTTTTGTGATTATTTTCTGATAATTTTCATCTAAACCTGAAGAGTTTCTCATAAATTAAAAAACTTTTAACCCTATCATGGTGGGTATCCTTTATTGCGCATATCACAAGGTTTTAGTGACTTACCTTCAATTGTTTATTAATATACTTTTTCGTTTATGTTATACCAATTAGTATAGCATAAAATCTTAGCTAATAATCAATATTTTAATAATATATAAGTTTTTAGTTTTATAAGGCTATGTTTAAAAATATCCTGAATTTCTCCAAGTGTGACACACATGATACATTTTCTCTAGGCATCTTATCTCCTCTATTTTATCCACCACCCCTTGAAAAGTATGAAATTAAACGTAAATTACTCACTATAAAATGACCAACAAGCCCCGACAAACTATATTTTTTATAGTCTTCAATGTTGTTTGGTTACAGAGCTATAAAATAGAAAATCAGACCCCTCTTACCACACCCACCTGTCACATCCTCTCTTTCAGGATTTGTTAATAGTTCTCTCTTACATTTAATTTTTAATTCTATATTATATATAACCAATAGAAAGCCAAGGTTTTCATCTATCAAATGATGCATTATATTACATTGTTTTCTAAATGGAGAATTGTCAATTTCACTCTTAGTACAAGCTTTGTTTCCATGGGAAGGATAACGACTAGAGTGGATGAATTTGTAATAGCTCTTGTCACATAGTTAGAAAGCCAGAAAAATTGTGAGAGTTATGGGAAATTGGCAACATTTTGCATGTCATTATTCTATATTCTTTGGTGTATTATTTAATTAAATAAAAATTCTTTAGTGCATTACTACCATTAGTATAAAAAAGTAGGGTTAAGTGTAATCGACTATTAACAGCAATAAAAAAGAAGATTCGGGTAAGTATTTTATTTTTTGTGTTTATTCTTTATTTATTACTATAAAAGTAACTAAAATGTAAAATATGGATCTCTTTAGGTTAGTTAAGGTTAGATTAGGTAAAATAAATAATAATAATAATATGATAAAAATGCTTCTTGAGGCACGCATAATGTGACCTCCACGTTCCCCGAGTGATTTACAACTTATAATGGGGAGAATAGTAGTTAAACACAGGTCAAAAGGCAATTAAAACAATAAAATTTAATTATAAATAGATGTATACTGTTATGAGTTTAAAGCTACTTAGGATAAACGAATGTAGTTTCATGTTACAATATGAAGTCATTCTAGAAAGAGGAAATGGGCAATTTAGTTTTGTCAGATTTTTTTATTATTTTTGGGTGGTTACGAGGTCAGTGAAATTGATCAATGTTGTGTAGAGTTAGGGTAGACAAAATAACAGATAAAATATAAAGTTTTACTGAAAACAAACACTTGAAATATATTTAGGAGATTTTTGAGATGAAGAAAAGTATTTTTAATCTTAACATGAAAATCACTTTGCATGCTGACTATTCAAAACAAGTACTCGATATATTCAAGGACAAATTTTTTTTTAGTTTCTCTAAAATAATTCACTAAGAAATATGACTTTTTGTATGTGAAAGACTTGTAATGTTTACTGAAAGACTGCCAAATTTTGTGAAGATATACCCAATATATTGAGAGTTATAAGTATTAGATTTATAAAGACTATATGATTACAAAAAGGTCACATGGTTGGTCAAATCGACCAAGTCTATGTTGAGAGAGTTAACTGAAAGGGTAAAATATTTCTTCATTTTTGCTTTGCATTTTGCTGTGCCTGATTTGTAGTATATTGGCACTTCACAGAAGTTGTTGTAAAATTGTATTAGTCCAGTTTTCCTTTCAGAATTGAGAATCAGTTGCAAACACAGCACATATTGCACTAAATTATATACCAATTAATATGAAATGTATTGATACAGTCTTTGATTTACTTCTGTCGTATGAGAACCTAAAATTAAAAGAATTGCACAAGTGAGTTTAGTGATTAGACTGCTTTGCTCTTACACAACTGAATAATGTCATCTGTGTGTATTTCATGTTTAAATGCAGATAATTGTGCTTTATATTTAATTACTTGCTAATTTGTACAAACTATTTTTGTGATGCTAAACAGTGGTGTGTCTATTTTGGATCAGGATCATTTAGATCTCATATGATATTTACTCAATTTTACTAAGTTAAACTACATATAGATTTTTGGATACATTACATGATTCAACAAAAGCAGTATAGAAAGGTAAGATTTAAAGACTCTAATGCCATAGTTAGAAAGCAAGATAAATTATGATAGTTATAAGACATTTTTTGCTTTGTGTGTTCTTAGTGTATTATAGTGTAGGATAGCAAATTCTATTTTTTTTAGGATTATGGTTGTGTTTATCTTTCATTTATTATTTTTTTCTATCATTTAGTTTATCTATGAATCTTTAGTTGCATTAAGATGCTAACTCACCTTCTACATGATCATTTGTATTTTGAGTAAATATGTGTGTATGATGAAATTGACCCCAGCGATGATGTGCAGATACTATTAATGTTGCAGATGAGTATGTAAATTGATGATCACATGAAGTTGTACTCTCGTGATCTACTGTGTGAATAAATACCCTGCCAGAAGCTTCTTTAAGAGGGAAAGCCATGAGATAGTTGTTGAAGGATATAGTTATTGCTGTTTGTCATTTGATATTGTTGTTGATATTGAAAAGTATTATTTAAATATTGTATTTGCTGTATTTTTTTGTGTGTGAAATTAAGTTTTTCTTTCTGGTTTTTTTTCCTGTTTCCATTTTTATTAATTTATTTATATTTATGATAAATTGTTTGTTTTTATTGTTGTTGTTGTTGAACCCGGATTGTAGTGGCATTTTCACTTTAGATCATTACAATATAAGTAAATATAAATTATTTAGTGTACTTATAAAATTTGTATTAAAAAGTAAGATTAAATTTCATTAGCAACCAACAGCAAGAAAACAATAGGTCACAAGTGATATATTTCTTATTTTTCATATGTATTCTTTATTTATTATTAGAAAAGTAAATAAGTATAAAAATTAGAAACTTATTAGGATAGATTAGGTAAGATAATGAAAAATAATAATATAAATTATTCACGAGGTATACTCGAAAGCAGCTCGTGCACTATGTCATTCAATACAGTAAAGTGAGCTGGGCATTCTCTGAGTGATTTACAACTTATGTGGTAGAATTGTTAGTTAAATATGGATCAAAAGGCAATAAAGCAATAAAATTAAGTGTAAGCAGGTGTATACTGTCACAGGTTTTAAGCTATATAGGATAAACAACTGTAGTTTCCTGTTACAATTTACTCTCATTCTAGAAAGTAATAAGGAAAATTTAGATTTATTTCTCTTTTTTTTTTTTATGGTGGTTACAAGGTCAGTCAAATTGATCAAATCAATATACAGTTAGGATAGAGAAAATAGCAGACAAAATAAAAATGTTACGGAAAAAAACGTTTGGATCTATTTAGGAGGTTTTAGAGATTACACAGATAAAATCTGACAATTTTTGGATGAAGAAAAGTATTTTTTATCTTAACATGAAAATCAACACCATGACTCCATATATTCACAGATAAATTTTTAGTCTAAATAATTAATTATAACATTACAATTTTTTTGTGTGCATGGTTCAAGACATTTTGGACACACTGTAGAAGCTATATTCATAAAAGTACCACTGACAGTATTTGAATAATCACATAAGAGAATCCTAGATTTAGGGAATGGTTCAGAAAAATATTGTGAGCCTCACATTACATTTTATTGGAAATAACATTAGTTGAATAAAAATGTAAGAAAGGATTTTTGAAATTGATAATTCTGAAGCAAAGAAATATATAGGTGAGGTTTCCTTGTCAAAATAGAGACTTAGATAATTGTGTAGAGCTATAAACTTACCTTGTGCATTTGTTTATAGAATGCAAAATCTTTTCAGTATTTTTAAAAAAATGTTGCAATAGTGAGTGTACTTCTTGTTAACCTAAGAGTTCTACCAGTTGTTTCCGACAGCTTCATATTTGTTATCCTGAAAAAATTTTCAATGAATGTTGTGATTCAGTGATTGCTGAGAAATACAGACTCTTCATTATTAGTGGGACCAGGCATGGCCAAGTGGTTAGGGCACTTGACTGGCAATCTGAGGGTTCCTAGTTTGAATCCCCGTCCCACCGAACATGCTTGCCCTTTCAGCCATGGAAGCATTATAATGTGACAGTCAATCCCACTATTCGTTGGTAAAAGAGTAACCCAAGAGTTGGCAGTGGGTGATGATGACTAGCTGCCTTTCCTCTAGTTTTTCACTGTTATATTAGGGACGGCTAACGCAGATAGCCCTTGTGTAGCTTTACGCGAAATTCAAAACAAACCAAGCCAATCATTATTAGTGCAAATAGAAGCCATATTGTTCCATTTATCCCTGCTGAACAGATTGCATGAAATTTGAAGCTTGCATTAGAATGTTCAGTTCCAACCTCATGATATTAAAATGTGTAAGCCAGTTCTGAATGATGTACTGTATGTGAGTGGTGCATCCCTGAGTGAATTTTATTCTGATCAAAATCAGTCTCTAGTCATGCAAATAGTATTAGTGAGGCAAAGATTTAACATTTTCATTGTTGTAGAAGCATTGTGTTATGCAGTAGACAACCCTCTAGGTTGCTATTGCTGTGACACAAAGTATTACTCTGAAGTACCGTGGGTCATTTCCCTGTTTGTTCTTGATAAAGCCAAAACACACTGCAGTCAATGTGTGTAAGAGAAAAAGGGTTAATAAAAAGTTTTATTTGAGCAGAATGTCTTAAATCTAACACCAAACTCTAATTGTGCATATGTGATATTCTTTAAAGATTGTTACAGATTACCTGTAGATGTATGTATGAAATATAGTAAGGAAATAAAACAGGTATGGAAATTGGAATATATTTTGTTACAT